TCCTATTTATCCATCTTGAGTATTTTGCAGTTTGTGGAATAAGCAACAGTTCTCACATTCATGCTTAGTGAATAGTGAATAAAAACAACAATCAGCAAACCACTTAACAATGACCCACCACAACCCTGCTATTTCTGAATTTACCTTATCGTTTTTTTTCCTTTCACATAAGACTATAATTATGATTTCAACTTCCTCATCGGATCCCCAGTCATGAATCTATCTAACATATTCAGCTGAAGGCTGTCAAGGATCTACTGATTCCAAAATGCAATGTACTCTCCCTTCGTCCTTCACTCCTAAAATCTCTGAAGACCTTGACACTGTTGACTCCTGCCTACTCCTTGTGGAGGTTAAAGTCCTTCCTTGAATTCCATACCATACTTTCTCTTACCTAAGATCTTCTGCAGATGGGAGAATGACCCTATTTTAGGTTGTTATCAAGACCCTACCCAGTGTCACTTTCTCCAAAGATTTGCCTTTTCTCTTAAGAGAACAGTTTCTACATTTTACACCAAAATGTTAAGTATCATATCCATAGGCTTTGTGCTCAGATCTACAGATCCTACCTTAAGATCCCTATCCAGGTCAAATCTCTTGTCCCAAAGGTCTCAGGTCTGTGGGTCATTGGTATTTCTATGATCCACCAGCACCTCATTTTTCTTTCCAAACAAGTGACTTTGGCTGATTGCACTCTCATTCATCTTAGCCTTCCCATCTCACCACATGAAGGCTATCTCTAGTCTCTTCTCATTTTAGGGCTCCATCTCATTTTTACTCAACTTCTGCAGCTATGCAGATAGTCAAATGCCACTCATAGTGAAAAAAAATTCATTATAACTGTGTTATTTTCACTACTACTGCCCTAATTTATGAATGCAGCAGCCTCACTGTCCTCTTTTGTTCTAGAATGTCCCAGCCCTTAAATCCCCTCAGAGTAAACTCTCTGAAAGGTAATCTCTGATATCACTCCCCACTAACACCCATAAGGATTCCAACCAATGAATATTCATCAACCTCTGTAGTCCAGCCTGACCGATTTCTTCTTATTCTCCTCTATGAATCGTAAAAGCTTATCATCAGCTCACCACCACTCTTGTTTTCAAGGCTTAATTTGAGGAAAAAACAATCTCATGTAGTGGGGTGACCCCCCCAAATGCAGGTTCCTAGAACTCACTCAAGACCTGCTAAGTTTGAATCCTGGTGTTTAGCTCTAGAGGCATTAATTTTGTAACCATCTTCCTGGGTCATCCTTGTGCACCTTGAACTTCCAAAGCCTTTGCCCACTCCATATCTGTTTCTCTTTTCCAGATATTATTAACCTGGAATAATTTCCCACTCCTGCTCTCCAATTCCCCAGGAAAACCTTGTTCATCTGTGAACGATTTTCTCAGCATCCCAATAGGAAGCCTGTTATGCCTTCTGTATGGTTTGGAGATGGCATATATCACACATTGAGTTGCATTTTAATAATTAAAGAGCTTAATTTATCCTCTTATTAGATTGTAAGCACCTTCTATACTATACATATTTATCTCTCTAATAATGATTAGTAACTAATAACATAGTCTGTATTGCTATTGCATGAACAATTATTATCCTACTGAAAATATTTCTGTTTCACTTGGACCATTGTATTAGGAGAGTCAATACGAATCAGTAGTGCCCCACTGGCTTCAAGAGTATTGCATTCAGAGTTCTACATATTGCTCTCACAGGAACTTGAATATAATACGAGAATGTGGTTGATGGAGACACTGAGACAGAGAGAACAAGTAGTGTGGTATAGATTATTTCTCATGTTCCCTCCAGTTCTTTGTACCAAACCCAACTTATGTATCGTTCTTGGAAACCTACTGTTTTATTTCATTTTATGACTCCCCCCAACTCCCACATTTCACTATACTCCACAGTTAGATTTAAAATGGAAGCATGAAGAATGATAACCTTATCCCTTCCAGGAATCTTGGATCTAAACTTCTCTAGCGCCTCTGTCTGTGTTGCAATCTGGTGGCCCAATTGTTAAAAACTGGTGTTTTGGGTCCTATCCTGGTCTCCTGTGAGGGATTTTGGATTAGGGGAAATGATAATTTCATAACATCTTATATTCACTTTTTCTTCCAACCATGATTCCGTCTGTCTAAGATGCTTTCTGATTTTTTTCTTTTTTTGAGGGAGGGTCTCATTCTGCTACCCAGGCTGGAGTACAGTGGCATGATCATGGCTCACTGCAGCCTCCACCTCTCTGGCTCAAGTGACCTTACCCCTTCAGCCTCCTGAGTAGCTGCTACCACAAGGGTACACTACCAATACCAGCTAGTTTTTAAATTTTTTCATAGAAACAGTGTCTCACTATGTTGCCCTATTTTAAAAATTATTTTTAAAAACTCTCAATGGAGTCATTCAGATAGAAGTGAAAATGTGCCTGCCTCCTCTCTTCCAGGTCACATGTCTCAGGGAAGAGATCTGCTACTCAACTAATGCAGCCACAAACTAAGCCAAGCATTCAGATTTTGCCCAAACTCTCCCTCCCAATCTCACTTTATCATGCTGCCTTAAAGTATTTAGAAGTGATGTCTCCCCACACCAACTTCTCTTCCCTTCGCTACCCTTCCCTTCCTTTTCTGTCCCTTCCCTTTCTCCTTTTCTCTTTCTCTCTCTGTGTTTCTCATTCAGGACTTCATTTGTTGCATCCATTCTTGCAACAATCTTACAAATATTTTCTTTTCTTTCCACATTGGCCCTCTTCAACTTGTTCTCCACGTTGCCATCACAATGATTGCCCTAAAATATAAATCTGATCATTTCTTCCCCGCTCGCTGCAGAAAATATGTTACTGGCTTTCCCACTGCCTACTGGATAAATTCTACCTTTTCAGCATGGCATTCAAAACTCTTCACAATTAGGTCTCTAATCCTTTCTTTACCACCTTCTTTTCAAACTCAATGTCCTGGCATGCCAAACCCTCCCTATTTCTAGATCTCCACACACACAGTATTGCTATGATGTCTTTATCCATGAACTTCTTCACCCAGTCAGTGTCTGTGTACCATTTCTTCCCTACTCAGAAAGTTCTTTCTTTGCAAACCCTTCCTTAATCATTTTCACCTCCATAGGTCCCTACGAATTCATATGTATTCCTTGTGCACACCTTGTAAGCCTATTTTTTTCTCATGCTTTTGGCTATCTTGTCCACTAGACTGTATGCTTTCTCAAAAATAAATGGATGAGTTTCACTCACAGATGCATGTCAGTGCTTAGGACTGTTCCAGTGGTTAAAAAAAAAAAACCCTGAATTTATGAATAAGTCAATGAATTAATACATTCTTGGCAAAACCTATGACGTTCTGGCCTACTATAAATTACTGTGTTAAAGTTGAGATTCTGCTTTAGTTTAGGATATAGATATCTATATATATGTCCATATATCTACATCTATATGTCTATATCCATGTATATCACTGATTTGGGGAATAAGCTATACTTATTAACAATATTATTGTGTTAGGTCTTCAGTATCTACACAATAATGGAAAAAGTACATGTATGTTTCTAAGTATCTATCCAATAATCAGAACACACACATACGTATGGATGGATATATGTTTTTTCCATTATTGGGTATAGGTACCTATTAATAGATAAGTGTATATCTGTGTACCTATCTTGTTGGTAAAAGGTGCTTTTATACATATTATTTCATGTAGTCTCCACAAGAAGCCCACAGGAAAGGTAATTTTAATCTCAGTTTAACAGATTCACAGAACATAACTGACTTTACAACAAGGCAAAGTTTGTGAGGATAGAGTCTTTACACGAAACCAGGTCCCCAAATTGGTGTCTATCACCTTCCCTATTATTGGTCATGCTGCCCAAGTATCCTTCACATCATCGTGGCAGGCTTCATGCTTCGGTTTACTGCCTAAAGCAGAAGCAATTAGGAGGATATCCTATGTGTTGCAGACACTATTTTTTTCCTTCCATAAATGAATTAATGGACCATGAAATAATTTTAAGAAAAGCTAACTTTTCTGGCCAGGCAGAAGAATAAAAGTAATCACCATGTAATATTGTTGTGAAGACTACGAGGCCCCACACATTAACTCAGCTAATCATTACAGTATTACATGTCGATTATCTGTTCCATTTTGCAGATGCAGAAATGGAGGCAAACCACTAAAATACACACCTAAAGTCACATGCAACTTGAACCCAAGCAATCTCATTTTAAAATCCGTGTTCATTGTCACAACACTCTATGATGCCCTCTGATCTTTGCATTGCCAAATTAAATCCAACTTTCTCCAACTCAACTTTAAGTACAGGGGCCATACCCCCATCCTCGCCCCATGCAACTTGAAACTCCCTCGGAAAGATAACCTCCTGGACCCTGGAAATGAAGAGGCGTATTTAAAAACAAATGCCTCATCCTGGGCACAACTCCAATGTTTTATCAAACTCATGAACGTATAAGAATAGAAGAAAACAAAAAGCTTTCATCGATCCTCTCTCAACCATACCCTGAGCATAAAAGAGGTCCTCTACTTTACAGAGCTGCATTCCAATGTTTGCTGCTCTTAAAATTTTTTTTTATATCATTGCTTCCCAGTTGACTGACAATAACGCAGATACAGGGACTGCTGGAGATCATGACCTTAAACAGTTAAAGATGTTTGCATATACTGCAGCATGTTTGGTGTGGAGGGTATCTAGAGAGTCCTAAAAAAGCAAAGAGGAAGAAGGTTTGCTGTGCGCGTCTGGTGCTGTGGCACCGTGTGCCATGCCCACCTGCTCTATCTCCCGGGTACCCGGGATCTCTCCTTTACAGCTGGTTTGCACTGGGATTAGCTGTTCTTTGCATGAGGTTGTAGCTGTGGATGTGGTTTCTGTAGTGATGGGGCCGACTCCGGAGATCTATTGGCTGCTGGCTTTGTAAATTTCATTCAGTTTGGTCCAATGGCAGAGGGAGAGCCCCGGAGACAGCAGGACCTCTCTCCTCAATCTCTCTTTTTCTTGCAGAACCGTCTCTCTCCCTTCTCTGTCTCTTAGCACAGAGCTCTTATTCAGCCACTAGCTCGGCCCTTCCTGCTTCAATTGTAATGCTTGTTCTGCCCGTCCACAGACCATTGACGGCAGAAACAACGAATTTCCTCCAAACTAGGCGGTGTTGGTGGCTCTTGCATTCCTCTGGATGAGCAAATCTAGTTGGGGGGCTCCAGAAGGGGAAGGCTCCTGGGCTTTCAAAACATCCTCCTGAATCATACCTCGTTTCGAGTTCCCTAGAAAAATCTGGACGTGTAAAAAGAACTCTTAACAGCCGATGCAGCTCTTCCAAAGCTAAGGTAGGTGTAGTTTTAAGACGTGTCTCTGGGATATTATTCTCCTTATTTTAAAAAGCCGTTTAAACATTTTGACTTGCAGTGGTTTTCCAGCAAAGGATGGAAAGCCTCACTGCAGATACTTGAGTTTCACTTTATTTGATCTTTTTTTTCTTTTATGGTTATTAATAATATTTTTGGAAAATTTGAACAGGACTTTCTCCTATCTGTCTCGCTCCATTTCTTAGGTGTGGGTGGGAGTGTGGACCTTCATACGGCTTTTACATGCAACCTCTCCACAGAAATACTTGGTTTTATTTTCACTTAAAAAGAAAAATCCGGACTACCGTTGTTTGGAAGCGTTTTGCTGCAATCAGCTATTTGAACGGTTCTGGGGCCGTGTGTGATGTGTTTACAAAGTAGCGCTGCCTTCCATACAAATAAACAGAAGATTGTGGCGGGGAGAGGGGAAAAATATATATATGTATCTGCAGTACAGGGAGAGAAGGAGCGAAGCGGTCAGGGCTGGAGATGGTGAAGGCAGGAAGACTTCTGCAAACTGTGAGGCATGGGAGGCTTTTCTTTTCTTTTTCTCCCCCCCACCCCCCACTCCCTTCTTCTTTAAGAAAACTGTCAGCTACCACCGCCTGGGGTGCTTTTTTGCGGGGTTGGGGGAGTGCGGTTAACCAGAGAGAAAAAGGGAAAACAGGCTTGGTCGGGGTTGCATTAAGCGATTTTTTTTCCCCTCCTTCATCTCCGGGCCTTGGATAAGATGACGGCTTGGGTGATGCACGAAATAACGCACGAGACTGATTAGACCTGGCTTGGCTGGGCTAGGGAACGATCCAGGCGCGCTGGAGACCCCGCGTGAAGACGAAATGACCGTAGCTCCGCGCTGTTTCTGCAAACCGGGGAGCGGGCTCCATGCACCCCTTTCCCGTGTGTGTGGGTTTCGAGGCGGGTGGGAAGGGTGAGGCAAACCGCAGAAAGGGGTAGAGCTGGTGGTTTTGCTTCTTCGGGAGCCTTTGAGTGTAGTCTGAACCTTTGAGGGGGGCGCTGGGGGGCTTGCAGCTGCCGCCCTGGGAACCATCTCTGAACTGTCCGCTTATCCGGAGGAGCGGAAAAGTTGGAAGCTGCGAGGACAGACGACCGGAGCCCTTGTCTGGGTCTCAGGGGATCTGGAGCCCTAGTCGGTGCCCACTGAGAACACCCCTTCTAGGAGTGGGGGTGTCGGGGGGAGTGTTAAGCCTGCGGGACGCACAGTCCGCCAGTCCCCTAGGTGGGGACGGGGAAGGAGGCTGAGGAGTAGGTTCCAATAGGCGCACCACCCCCACAGCCCTGGAAAACGCAACCGCCACCCCCTCTTCCCTCCCATCCCATCCCAAGGCTCTCTGCTGTCCCGGGCCGATTTCATCTCGTCTCTTACCCCGCCTCCCCGCCTCTCCGCCTGCCAATTCCCGCGCGGCTGGGCTCGGCCCCTTCCCACTCCAGTGGGCAGAACTGATGGAGAAGATCCGCCAAGCGCGCAGCCAGAGGCGGGGGAGACAGTGGCGGGTGGGCGAGGGGCTTCTAGACCACGCAGGGAGAGAGTGAACTTCAGTCCCGCCCCCTCCCCAAGGCCGCGGCTGGGGCTCCCCCAGCCCGCGCTGGCACCCGCGTGGCCTGACCAGCGGAAGAGCGAGCAGGGATGAGGTGGGGAGAGGGAGGTAGGTGCCGCTCGGCTGCAGATGATGCGTGGGCGGGGGGCTTGCTGTGGGAGGAGAGGCCCAGGTCCCGGCCTGCGCCCTCCACTCCGCGGCTGCTCCCTCCGCCTCTGGTTTTCCAAGAGGCCGGCCGCTACCCCGGGGGATGCTCTTATCTTCCAGCCGTTCTCCTGGACACCCCTTCCTCCTCCTCTCCCTCAACCTGACCTGGCTTTTTCGCCCCTCCGAGAACCGGTAGGCTGGGGTCCCTCGGCGTGGTTCTCCTAGGCCTCACCCGGAGCTTTGCGTTCCTGGTATCGGGGCCCCGTGCACCGTGCAGCCCTGGGCCCGGGCGCACCATTCCGGCGCCTGCTCGCCGCCAGACACAGCAACCTTTCTTCCCGGAGAGGCGGGGGCGGGAGCGGGGGGGAGTCAGGTCAACCCTTGCACCCCCGAGGCCTGGCCCGGGCCACCCTGGGAACGGATGTCCTGCATGGAGGCCGAGGGGCACCCGGAGGACGTCCTCCGCATCGTACCCCTCCCCTTCCCCAGAAGGCTTTTTTTTTTTTTTTTGTACTGCGGGTTTCTTTTTCTCTGGCTTCTTCCTCTGCACCTACGGCAGGTGTGAGCCTTTTTTTATGTATGTGCTGCTGCTATCTCGGGGATGCGGGGGAGGGGGTGCAGAAGGCAGCGTGGAGGGGTCCTTGGAGGTTCCGGCGGGGTTTTGGCCTCTGCGGTGCGCCCGGGCTTGCAACTCGCGCGGGCGCTGGGCGCGCGCGTCACGAATTCAGCCTAGAGCTTGGGCGAGTCTGCGGGGAGCGAGGACGGAGGATCTTGATCTGTCATTTGGACCCAACTTAAGAAATTTGGGGTGGGGGTTGGGTGGGGGTTTTGGAACTAAGCAGGTGATGTTCTTGCGAGCTGAATCCACAAGGTGGTAGTATGGCTTCTTCTTCTTCTTTTTAATTTATTTTACTTTATTTTGTTTCTATTTGGTCATTTTTTTGTGGGGGGCGGTGGTTTGTTGTTGTTGTTGTTGTTGCTCTTATCTCATGCTTTTTGAAGGCATCCGTTGCCTGTAGGGTTTACATCGGAGCGCATTGCATTATATTTTCTTAAAAGGGGGTGGTGTGCGTGAGCTCCCATCTCAGAATCAGCCCTTCCTGTGATGTGAGGAAGGCGAAAGCAAAAGAAAAAAAAAAAAAGAGAGAGAGAAAGAAAGGAAAAAAAAAAAGGAAAAGAAAAAGTTTAGGAAGACCTCGTTATCCTGACGAAGCAGAATTGCCAGTTTGTGTGGGCGTTCTGCGGGCGACATAGAAGTTCATGCTTAAGAAATCCGGGGTAGTTTCCTTTTTCAGCTAGAAATTAAACGGCCAGGGTGCAAACACCTGACTTTGATGAGAACAAAGCGGCAGAAACTGCAAGAGACCTGCATAGTTTGAATGGACACACTGAGCCTTTTCCTAGGGGATGGCAGAGCGGGGTGAAATCAGAACGCAAAGAAATCTGCAGTTTTATGGGGGCAGATTTGGAGAGTGGAGAATTATTTCATACCTTTAGTTGGCTGTGGGGAAGATGTTAGCAGTAATCCATTAAATCCTCAGCACAGATTTTCCTGTGAAAATGTGCAAAATGTTAAGAGGGGGAGGGATGGCTAATGGCACATGGTTGCTTTAATTCCTGTATTTCCAGAAAAAAATATGAAACTTCTGTGTATCCTGAAATTAAGAATATAGGAATTTCATGGAGACCTCTGCAAGCATGCATTTTCTCAGATTAGAAATTCAGTATTTTATTACTCAATGAAATGTAGAATGCGTGTGTGTGTGTGTGTGTGTTTATACAGACATACACGCACGCATTCTACATTTCTACATATATATGTGTGTGTGTACATGTATATATATATATACATATGGCCATTTTAAAGAGTATTTTCTTTGACATGTAAGAACATAATCAGGGCCAGTTGTAGCAAGTGTAAAATTACTTCATCAGTTTTAAGTCAGTGGATTAAAATGGGAGGCTTGATTTTTTTTTTGAAACCAGAATAATAATTACATTTTCATAATAATACCTGTGCACGGATGCAGTTTTAAAGATGCTTTGATGTTTTCTTCTCCGGTGGAAGAATTGTTGCTTTTCTTTGTGTTTTATTTAAATAAACTAATGTTGAATATACGGTTGGCCCTAAAACCAATAACCTAGCTGATTTTTACCCAAACCTAGGAATATAACAGATATTTGATAAGGGACTGGTGGGTGCATAAGATAGATAATGAAGTTATCTTGATGCTGTGAAATTTACAAGCAGACTTGAAGGAATTTGAAAGTTCATAGTTGTTGGCCTGGAATGTAGACTAATGGTAAATATATAGATTTTTTTAAATGTGCGAACTTGGCTATTTCATTGTTTTGTGTGTAGTAATTTGTGGAAAGCTTATAGTCTCTCCACAAAGATGAGACTGTTGACTGACTCCGCAACGGAGACTTGCTTTTGGAAGTGCAGGGGTCTCTTTAAAAGCCATTTGAAATACTGTGCTTTTATTTCTAGACCACAACCAAAAGGTTCTCACAAAACTAAACATTCAAGTGCATGAGGGAATGACCTCTGTTTAACATTCTTTCTTTTTAATTGGTACGCCACATTTCAAACCTTTCGTAATACTGTTGAATATCGTCAGTAGTGCAACTTGTTGAGCGAATGCATTGCGTTCAGATGAAGTAGCAATATACAAATATTTTAAGTCATTTAATATCCTCCTTCTAAAGATACTCTTATCTGGTTAAAATATACTTAAATTCCACATATGGTGAGAGTTGGTCTTAGAATGTGAATGTCAAGTGTAAGAGACAGAATTTCAGTGTGTAAACCGGAATGTATTCTTTCTGTATTGCTTTCTGACTCTTAATATTTTAACAATGCTTTCCCCTTTTAAAAACGGGGAACTCTGTTCGGTTTAGTTTAAATCTGTTGCTCTTTTTGTGTGTGTTTTTGTCTGAATACTGCACTTTTTCAGAGGACAGACTTCGTCTCCTGCTTAATTATGTGAATGGATATTCAGACAGATTTGAATAGCCACCACTGATATCTTAAACTCCTGAGCTACCAGTTTGAAATCAAAGACACAGCTTTTGCAACAGTCAGTTAGAGAAAGTGAGAATCAAAATTGAAGCCTAGGCTGTTGAGGCAGTTAGGTCATCTGCTGTGCCCTCTACTACCATTCACTCAATGAATATTTTACAGTTTTGTCATTTTTCTCTAAACAACCTACATTTGGACTTTGAAAGTCTGCACTGTTCTTTGTTAAGTGAATGACAATGTAGGAAGCCCTTCCTCAT